TATGAAAGAGAGGAGTAACTTGTTTCTCTAAAATATGAATCGATCTCTTTTGTACTACAGTCTGTGCTTTCAAAGTCATTTTGTTCCATCAGACACTAGTTTAAGAGGTTGCAAAACTGCTCCTTCTATTTGTTGGTCAAATCAGTTTTTGACATATATTTTATAATTATACCTTATGATCACGTCACTTTTAGTGACTTTCTCCTTTTGATTATTCACTGACTGTTATTAAGGGGACCCCTCAGAAATGATGATTTTCGATCAAAAAGTCGGTTTTGAGATACATACATGGAAAGATAGCCTGAAGTATCTGCTTTCAGAATATATATGTGTGGACACTATATCAATGGTTTTGAGGGGTTTTCTGAGGATCCTCTGTATAAAATATAAGGTAGGCAGTTGTTTTTTGAATAATTCAAAGACAGTAAAAGATAGAGACTTGCAGTTTTCAGTAATCGAAAGAAGACAGTTTAGCCTATATGTTTTATAAGCACAAACGGAATTTTGAAAACTCTGGAGTCTGGTTTTTCGTGGGATCTTTGGAAAACCATTCACAATACCAAAATTTAACACAGCAATATATTACCTTCGTTACATGGTTAGATAGCCCAAAGTGTCCTCTGCAAAATCCGGGCTAAGCTACCCAAGCACGAAAAAAAATCATGAAGCGGGCGCTGCATCTAGATTAAAAGGTACATTTATCTAGCTTCAGCTAGATTGAAGCTAGTTTCAATTGGGTACAACTAGTTGCTATCGATTAATCGGGCAATTCATTGCTCGATTAATTGGCCCATGCAGTGGCCGTTTCAGCTAGTACACAATTTCAACCAACATGCAGCTAGATAAATGTACCTTTTAATCTAGTTAATCTAGCTGTAAGTGGGCGCTGCAGCTACTTCTGCAGCTAGATTTTCTCGCTTACTTAGTTTTGCTTGGGTACCTTTTAGTCTTTTGTGGTTTAAGCGTGGAATCAGGCTTACTCGAAGCCTCAGGGTCGATATTTCGGTAGGCGTTGTAATCTCGAAAAGCAATGGAAACATAAGTAATCGACCACGCTCGCATATTTAGAGTGCGTAATTGAGTAAGCACAGTATTCTAAAATGTATTTGTACTGTTTTATTATATATATTCTAGCGCATGATGTTACTGGTTAGCACTAGTACTTAGTAGTTGATCACAGCAACCGCAGAGTAAGAATATGTCTAGATATATATAAGAAACAAGGAAAGGAAAAGATCGAACAATAATTGAAATTTTGTAAGTACACCTTGTTGACGTAATAATGCTGTAAATCTTGCATTATTGGTTCTAAAACTATCTCTTCTAAAACCAGTTATAAGTGCATGTTCTTCAAAATTTCTTCGTTCATTTTCAATTAATAAATTTAATAATACACCATAATTTATATTTTGACTAACGCTTAATGAATATATTAATTCTTGTAATAAATAAAATGTTGTTTCATCAAATTGATTAGTCATTTTATGAACATTAATATAAAAGTTACAAGATCCTATATCACCTTTATTTAATAAATCTAATGCTTTTAATATATTTGCATTATAATAATAGTTTGATATATTTTTGTTGGACATTAGGGATGGCACATTACTATTACTGTTACCAGTAATACAAATATTGTATATATTACGGTTACTGGTAACAGTAATACTAGCAGCATTAGTGTTACCAGTAACAGTAATATTGATAAAATTAGTATTACTTTTCAGTAAAGTAATACAAGGAAAAAAAAATTCAATAGAGGCGCCACTATCAACACGAAACCACCATATTATTTCGTACTGAATTTTTTTTTTACTTTACTGAAAAGTAATACTAATTTTATAAAAAACTATTTATGGTGATATGTCCATGCCATAAATAGTTTTTTTATAAAGGTATAAATACTTCTAATATTATATTTAGACGTTTAGTTTCTATTTGTTTATGTTGAAGAGAATTAACTTGTTTTTCTAAATCTAATATGCGACCATGTAAAGTGGATATATGTTCATTTAATAATGTTTTTTCATTATTAATTCACGTACACTATTTATGATCCTTTCAATATGTTTTTTATCTACTTCTGATAAATTAGTGTTTCGAACTACAATAAGGTAAAGCTCATCTAATAACTGATTTGTTTCATCGACCGTTATTTGATCATCACTTGATGTTGATATGTTTATAATAAAATACTCATCTTCTACATTACATAGGAAATTCATTAACATTTCTGGAGCTGTTTCAGGCATCATTTGCATACATTTTTCATTTAAATACATAAAAGCAATAGGCTGAATCTCGACCAGCAAGATGTAATCAAGAAAGTTATTTACAAGAAATGTTTGTGACTGACGAGGAATGATCCCCAACTGATAAATCGCTTTTTCAACGAAACCGACTGGACTATAGGTAGTCGACGATGCTGATTCCGAATACCACCATGAATGCTGCCGCTAGGCCTTCAAAGACCGGTA